CACGGATGAGCAGATTTGATGTTGGCACCAGTGCAGAACCAATGCCAGGGACTCGGCGGAGAGGCAGGCCAAGAGAGGATCAGGCCCCGGGAGCATATGGACTGCAGGCTGCACCGTTCCATCCCGAGCATTAATAATGGACCCAAGTCTGTAATTCTTAATTGTGCTGAATCCTAATGCCCTCATCTAAGGGCCTTGGGATTTTGATGGAGGATCAGCTGGCATGGAGGATAACAACAGCAAAACACAATGCATTAAGCCTAACCAGCAGATCGATGGTCTGCCACGTCGCTCCTCTCACTTCAGAGCCTTCTCCAGGCTCCTTCCTCCTGTGACGGTGGCAAGAAAAAAATCATTTAAAAATCCCCTTGTTTAGCTCATCTGTTTTTCCCATGAGATGGCTCCTTGCTTACGTGGAAGGACAAGATTCTGGCATGGTTGGAAAGAGTATAAAGACAATAGGGAACAAACATGGGATTGCTGGCAAATGGAGAAAGGTCTCTTGGACACGCAGCCTTTACCTCCAACTCCTCCCCTTACCTCCTGCAAACAAACGCGTTTCCTCAATTAACAGGTCTGGACCTTCATTAACTCACTTGTTTATGTACAGCCTCTAGAGCCGCTGCTACAGGCCATCCAGAAGAGTGCCCAGGGATGGGATCAGCGCCCCAGCGCTCCCAGACCTCTCGGCTCAAGCCCAGGCTTGGGTTGAAGCGCTGATGAATTCTGCAGCGTTCGGCTTTTCCAAGCCTTACCCGCATCAGGAATCATTCCCAGGCACGCAGGTTTCGGGATGCCCACTGCTCCTCGGGGTATAAAGCCAGCAGTCACCTGAAGCAACCGGGCATCCACCCACTCTGTTTTGCTGCTTCTCTTAAGAAAATAATCAAGCTCCGCCCAAGATGGGAAGCGGGCACGGTTCCCTGACATTTCCAAGCACAGCAGAAACACTTAACCGGCTCCGTTATTTATTTATTTACTTGTGTGGAGAAAAGGCTTGTTACTTAAGAAACCCAAATGCTGATAAGATGATGAGAGGTTTGCATGCTGGTTGATGGTCTCACTTTCGCTTATCCTGAGTGAATACAAGTATCTATAACTAAATATTTCCCTTAGGGTACTGATGACTGAGGTATGTTTATTGCATTGAGTGAATTTATATATATAATCAGCACAATAAACATTATTAAATTGTCTGAGTAAAATCAAAGCATGAAACACACAGTCAGTGCTGAATTCTAATGATGCTGAATGCCCATGATTGCAGAGGGAAAGGATCTTAACAAGCCTTGATTTGAGCTTTGGCATCCGCCTCACAAATCACACGAAATGTTCTCTCTTTAATAGTGCTGAATATTGATAAATGTCTCTGCACGGCACAACAGGGAAGTTGGTCTCTATTGGCAATCTTTACCAAAGTGTGTTTTTTCCTTCTCTACACTCAAGGGTTTACCCTGAATGATTTAATTATAATTTTCCTTGTGTAAGACAAATTAAAGAGGAGAGTAGGAGTGTCATGCCAAAGCAGATTATTTATCTCCTTAACAGATTGCTGTGCACCAAACCCCAGAGCTGCTGCTGCTGCTGCTACTTACAGAAAATGGGCGAAATGTGGGACAAAAGCATAGATGTAATATACATTTAAAGCCCAAATGAATGAAAGCATTAACCCATTATTTAGAGCTGGGATTGTTTCATTCCCGTGAAAGCCTTACACGTAGAGAACGCAGAAACCAAGAGCAGCACCACGATGCTCCCTGGGAGGATACCTCCGATATTTCTGCTTTCTGAGCATCCTGGGGTGACACTGGCCACCCATCTGCCATTTGCTTTTTTGGCCATAAAGAAGAACTTTTGTCGTTGCTGAGCTTGGAGTGAGGCAGCCCCGCAGCAGGCGGTGGCACCGGGGCCACATTCCTGCCGTCTGCACCAGCCTAAAGCTTTGCTGTGCATGACCGTGAGGCTGGGCCCACGGCGCGTGGGCACACCAAGCAGCCAGCAACTCTTTCTCCTGCTACTTTAAATCCCTCGTTTATAACCAAATCGTGTTTTGACTCGAGCCATTCAGCACAGCTGCCGCTCGCCCGATGGCTGTTAAGCAGGTGCCCCTGCTTGTGGGTCTCCAGCAGCCTCGTACCTGAGCTCTGGGATCAGGAACCCCAGCCCGAACCATCCCAGTGACAAGTGCCAGAGGAGACAGCGATGACAGTAACTCCCACATAACCAACTTGCCTCCTGCAGCCCGCTCCTCAAAAGCTCAAGAGGAAGGCGGGGAGGGGAAATCAGCTTTACAGCACACCCTAAAAGTTAATGTTACCTGTATATGATTATTTATTGCTGCTGGGCAGTCGTTACGATGTGACTGGACTTAACTATTAGGACACTTACAGCTTTTACTATGTGCTTTTTATTGTTGTTTAAATAAATAGCTCCTGGTTCTATCAGGCCAAAGCTAACAGCCAGCTGCACAGAAGGTGCAGGAGTGAGAGCGGGGAAGTCACAACTCAAACCCCTGCCCTGGCCAGCCCAAGCTGCGGACCTGTGTGATGGGAGGTGGAAGGGCTGACACTCCCCTTGTGAGCCCTTCTGAGAGTCCCACCTGACCCGAGCACGGGCTCAGGACCACCTCCACAAACCCCCTGTACACAGATTTCACTGTAAGTCCTGCAAAGTTGTGCTCCCAGCAGACACGTGATTTTTTTCTACTCTTAACCTTTGCAATGAAAAAATGACCAAAAGGCAGCTCATGCCTCTGCTCTCTCTTTTGCAAGCATGTGAAAACTTCACCTTCCACGAGCTCTCATCACAGATCGGAGGGCAGAGCACAGCTCCTCTTTCCTCACTGCTCACTTGCCACCCCGAACTCCCCGCCCGTAGATAAATACCCTTTCAGCAAGCAAACCAGTGCGATGTATCTCAACAAGAGGAGGTTCTGTGTCAGATGAAATCCAGGCAGGCACCACGGTGCCTGATGAGACTGCAACAAAACCCTTAAGTGCATCAGTAGGCATTCTTCTGTGTGTAGCCTCCTGCTCTGCTTATGGATAAAGATGTAATTCAATCACTGCAGCAAATGGATGGCGTAAACCCTCCATGTGCCAAACAGAGGCAAGATAAAACCAAGTCTGTAGCTCTCTTATTTGTATTCCTAAATACACCTATTTTTATATTTTGAGATTGCAGAGTACTCAATAGATACGTAAGAAAAGTGTAATGGCAGGTTTAACGATATAGCTATCAATTCAACTACTGAGGATTTTAAGTCTTCTAATACAAGACAATCTCAAACAATACCATGGCATGTTTATGCCTTCCTAATTAATTTTTTTGGAACTTCACTAATAAAAACATATGTTTGGAGTTCCCAGTTGCCTCCAGGCCACAATGACAGGACTCAGACACATGGATTTCCAGTTCTGTTTGACAGCACAGGAAGAGAAAATTCTTACTTCAGAACATCCCCTGCATTTCAAACTAAACAGCAACGGCATATCGTTTCCTCGGTCAGGGTGCCATTAGCAGACAGCATATGCCTCCATTCAGTGAAAAAAGATCCATTTCACTGCATGGGTTTTTATTTTATATACTTGGTAAGAAAAACATACATAAAAAAATTTATTGAAAAGTCGTAAACCCATCTTGTTCAGCTCTCTATGCAGCAAAAAAAGGGATTTTAACTGTTTAATAAACATCAAATTGTTTTTAGTATCCCATGTAAGTCTTCATGAAACCCATGTCCTTGACACTTACATGCATTATAAATGTATGCGCTGATGTTCCCTCACATGTCCTTGCGATGCCTTACACACACAGAGCAGTTCTTTCAACAGTGGTGTGCTCTCCTTCAAAATCTATCTATTCCCAACAGCACAATTTTCTTAATATTAGAAAGATATAAGAGGTATTTATATAGCTGCCCTATCAATCTACTTTCAGACCACCAGAAATATAAACTCTATGGCTTAAAAATTCCATTATCCTCTTTCTAATGAATGAAAGGAGGACGGAAAGACAAAGCCATCAGTTTCCATAAAACCCAGCTCTCACTAGTGTCTGCTCTAACGTTTCGAGATGGGCAAAGGGACTCTCCTGAATGCAAAGAAGCACTGCCCTCCCTCCTGTGCTCCCAGAGACCCTGCTCTTCCTCCTCCTCCTCCTCCTCTGGCAGCGGTGCCGAGGCTGCGGCAGGCACAGGCACCCACCGCCCCAGCTCCTCTGGGACCGTCTGTCTCACCGTAAGCCAAAGTTCTGTTGTTAGACACGCCTCAGTGAAATCTGGGGGTGTTAAGAAACAAACCTGCAATAAAGCATCCTTTGGAAGAAAGCGGAGCCCGCGCCGAGAAGCACATCAACAGACAACCCCTGATTTAAGCCATTTCTTTTAACAATGCAAGCCTAGCAAGTATAAATTAACTCATGCTTTTAAAAGCCAAACAACACCAGTTAGCTAATTTTATCAGCACTTAAAAAAAATCTTCCACTTTGTTTTAGAGCAACCTGGTAAACTCAAGATTATCCTGTATTGCGAAAGCAGGTAAATATAGAGTAAAAAAAAAACCAAACGTCTTAGAAGAGATAGGGCCCCAAAATTTCGCAAAAAACCCAAGCCAGGTGGTAAACCAGCCTTTATTGACCAACAGACTTTTTTCCCTCATTTTTGCAGCCTGCAAACCCGGAGCACATCAAGAGCAACACCACCCGGGATGCAAACCTCAAAAAAACCCCCAGCTTACACTCTTCACACTTCCCTCAACACGCTTATCCAATGCGCTTCTAATTAGCTAATTGTGCCCACATTGATCCAATTAACAAGCCATAAAGATCCGAACAAAAGGAGCACATTCTGCCCAATGGAGACTCCATTCAACCACGCCAAAAGCAGGCGAGAGCAAGGCGCGGAGGCCAGAACAGCGGCCAAGGCGCTTGGCCACCGCTCCCAACAACTTCGCCACGGCTCCCGCACGCCGTCCCGCTGGGGCGCAAACCTCGCCGGCACCTACCTCTCCCGTTTCGGAGTGTGGACCGATAGCTGTCCGTTGGTTGAGGCGTGCGGGTTGATGATTAAGGAGGTCTTAGACGGCGCGGAGGAGGAGACGCAGGTGGTGGACAGGTCCAGGCTGCTGTGGTTGTTGCTGGCTGCCTCCTCCGCCGTGTGCGAGCTTGTCACTTCCTTCCAGAGCTGCTGCAGTTCTGTTGGAATCATGCCTGAAACAAACAAATTGGATAATTAAATCAATTAACAGCTAATTCGGCCGTCTTCAAACAGTAATTAAATCAAAGAGTCAGTAAACAAAGCCTAGTGTTAGTTTGGTGTGTGTGTGTGTGTTTTTGCGCATGTATTTGTTGGGGTTTTTTTAATAACCAAAGGCTGATAGTGAATGCCGCATGTCTTGGCTCAATTTTCTGGTGTGACACCTGCAATACCTATGTGAGGCAAAAATCCTGGTGCGTTACAAAGGGAGCTGCACCACACGCCACCCAGCCCAAACTCCACGTTAATTATTTTTTAATTTTTATTTTTTTTTTAATGAAAGTTCCAGAGCTCCTACTCGGGCAACAATCACCTCGAGCTCGCAGCAAGGTTGACAGCAAAGGTGGCCAAGGGCCACTCTACAGTCAGCTGGAGAAATTTATCATTTAAAATACACTACTTATTTCAAATTTATTTCAAAGGAAAGTGAATACTTGCTAACCTGTTTTTAAAAAGAAAGCAAGGTCTTAGGGAAAAAAAACACCTCAGCTTTATTATTATGACAATAGGAACCACAATATGACTAATTTTGTTCTTAAGTTTTAAATGATGACAAATAGCTTTGTTATTAAATACAGTTTTTATTAATCACTTTTAGACATAAATTATGAATTCATATTGTCTTCCTGAAATGCTTTTCAAATTTTAACAGTCAAATTGATTATACTATGATTATTTCATTAACACACCTATCTTTCTCATTAATTTTGGTTTCTCAAACCACTCACTTAATTGATGGATGTGTCTACTGAAAAAGTGTATAACTTTCTGTACAAGTAACACTATTATTACTGTCATTTCTTAGATCGATGCTAATGAGCCATTCAAAAGTAAAACGAAAACACCAAGTAAGCTTCAAGAAACAATAAAAACAAAAACCAGGTGTGTTTGTTTCATTGCGCCCAAGTGGACCGCAGGGGTAAGACACAGCATTTGGTAAAAAGGGCAAGGGAAAACTTGGCCAACTCCGACGGCCGAGCCGAAGGGTGCAAGAGGAACCGCACGCGTCGGCGGGACAGGGGCTCGCGCCGAGATCACACTCTCGGATGACGCTTGTGCTTGTGACCCGATCACACAAGTCAAGCTCCCCTCACCGAGGAGCAGCTCAGCGCTCTGTCAGAGAAGGCCACCGGAAAAAAATCAGGAGCAGAGACGCTTAAACATTCAAAGGGAAAAAGAAAAACAAATCGTAGGAGCCAGTGTCTGTGTTTTTCAAGAGGTTTTTCGTCACTGCGCTTCCAGCTCATCACTTGGATGACTGTTCATTGTTTCCCCGTACTGTAGCACCTGGAGCTATCCTAAGGAAACCTGCCATTTTCCGAGTGCGCAGCGGCAGCTCGCACAGGCAAGTGTCTCACCAAACCTAAGGTATTGAAATAAAAAAAAAAAAAAAGCAGTATGCATTATATTCATTTGAAACACATAATAAAAAATGCCAAGGTCTAAATTTAATTTATTTTTGTCATTTAGAATACAATGGATAGATAATCATCTCAACGTGATCAGCCAAACATCTTTACTTTGCTAAACTGTTAAAGATTTTAATTATGCTAGCTTTGGAGAGCACTGGTCTAATGAGGCGATAGACTCCAGAGAATCTAAGTGGTTAAGAACTGTGAAATGAGTCTGATAGGATTTTTTTATATTCACCGTGGATCGTTTGCATATCAAAGAGGAGTAAATTATTGCACGACAGACCAATAACCTTCCCCGCCTTTCTGAGAGTAGCATTAACAAAAACAGTTGGTCTCCAGTAATGGTTCACTACAAAAAAATGCTAAAATCTTTACGTATCTGCAATTAATATATATTATGGAAGAGACTTCAATTTATACATTAAGTGATCAGATATTCCTCGGACGCATCCGCTTCTCGCAAGCCACGTCATTTGCCTTTCATCAGACCCAAATGCCAATTACATGTTGATGGATTTTGTCCCAAATGAGCGTTTAGTTATTAGACATATTCAATTATTACTTGGCCCCTGAAATTAAACCTCCGAGCAAATTAAACAAAGAAAAAGGTCAGTACACAAGCCTGTGTCCTGTTTTGCTGTATCGAGGCTATTATTTTCAAACACCTTGCGAAGTGACAGCGCGGGATGTATTTTTAGCGAAGGCGCTTGACAGGACTGTCTGCGCACTAACAATTACCTGCGAGCACGGCTGACCCCGACACCACTGTTTACTCAGTCGAAACAATAGTGAATAGACTTGTCTGTTGATGATAACGTATTGATATGAGACTATATGAGTCGACACCTATTTTTATTTTCCAGAATAA